CCGGTCCCAGCCCCAGCGTCCTTTGCACCCCGCCCGGGATGGGGCTGGGGCTGGGGCTGGGGCTGGGCCTGCTCGGAGCAGGGCCCGGACCAGGGATGACCTCAGCCCTCCTGTTCTGTGACGCTGTTTATTTGATTATTATTTTATTTAGAAAATGATTGTAATGTTATGGCTTATTTTTATTTCATTTTATTTTATTATCTTTGCATTTTTGTTATTTAAGCTATTAACTAATTTATTTCATTGTATTGCTTTTAATTTTTATCATGTTCGTTTTAATATCAATTTAATTTTATTGCTGTTATCTTTTATTTTGCATTTGTTTTCATTTATTTTTTTTTTCTTATTTGGTATATTTAAACAAATGATTTACATTAAATTGAATTAATTTAGTACCTTTTTCCCCCATGGAAAATGGAAATGGAAAAAAAAGAGTAGATTTGACCTTCTTTTATGGGGCAAGAGTAGATCATTTTGAGTCCCCGTATAACGGGATGACAGAGGCACCTGTCCCTTTAAGGGGAGAGGGCTGGGGGCTGCAGCAGGGGAGGGCAGGCTGGCCATTGGTGAAGGGGAGACCCCTGTGGATGGCTGGGGAGTCATGTGACCAGGCAGGGTGGGGCTTTGGGGTATATAAACCTGGAGCCTGAAGCAAAGAGGGCAGTCTAGCCCTGCCTGCTGCAGGGAGAGGGGGTCCTGGGGGTGAGGGAAGAGGGGGGCCACGGGCAGCCAAGCTACCCGAGAGAGCCGCATGGAGGGAGCTAGGGGCCGAGCAGCTTGCGGTGGGGCGGTGACCCGGAGCTGGGAGTGAATTTTGGTTGGGAAGGGGTGCACTGGCATTTGTGGTATGTTGAGGTTTATCCCGGGTTGTGGCTACGGGGTTGGTGTGGAGGCCATGGGGGCACCTGAGGGGCACCCAGCATAGAGTCCTGTAAGGTTTGGGGACTGAGCAGGGCCTGGAATAGGTGAGAGTGGCCCGGCACAATAATGACAGCACCAACCATTATCCTCATTAGCACCGTCATCCCCACTGCTACTCTTGGTGGAAGACGTAAGACAGTTTCCCATCAAAGCATTTTCCACCGACAGGAGCAGCGACTGTAGTGATGCTGGTTGTGGTTATTCTATAGCGCTTGACAGTGCTGTCACTAATGCACTCATATGTTCATAACTCTTTCTCCTAATCCCCCTTTCTCCAAAATTTTCCTGGGAGAATTTCCTCCAACCCGATAGATATATACGGCATCATCATCATTGTTCAACCATTAATGACCATTCTTAGAAACAATCACAGGTGAA